TTTTAGAAAAGAATTTTATAATCTATACAATATTTATATACCATGGTACAATACTGCAATATGCAAAAAAAAAAAAAAAAAAAAAAAAAATCAGACAAAATTGTTATATAAATAAATTATATGAAATTAAAAAATTTGGAGGCGAAAAATTTATTGGTACAACATTATAATACCTATTTAATATTTTGTAGTATATCGCTTACTCAATTGAACAACAATCAGTCTCTTTTGCTGTAGCTTTTAACCAATGATATCCATTGGTATTTTACTCCATTCTGTTTTGCATATTCTCTTTAGGTCCAGGGTGTTTTTCAGAACTCTTATTAACTTGAATTTTTAATAAACGCTGCAAATTCTCTATTGGATTCAGGACTGGAGAAAAATGGCTTATTGAAAACAAAATCAATACACTCGAATGGTTATTCGAGTGTATTGGCATTGTTTTCAATAAGCCATTTTTTCGTAAATGTCTCCGTATGTTTAGGGTCTTGTTGCAAAATCCATTCATTTGAGAGTCCAAGCTTTACGACTGACCCAAACAAATTCGAGTTCAAAACAGTTTAGTATATTTGTGAATTCATTCTACCATCTATTATCTCTAAATTACCCGTAACAATAGCAGAAAAATATCCCCAAACCATAATATTGCCACAACCACATTTCCCCGTTGCACGTGTGTTTTTCGGCGAAATGGTTTTGCTGTATTTCGCCAAACGTGGGTCCTTGAATTACACCCAAATAGTTTAATTTTTGCTTCCTCTGTCCATAAAACACTTTCCCAAAATGATTTTGATTTATTCTTATGCCCATGAACAAATTCTAAGCAGCCATCCTTATGTTTCTTCAATAGTAGTTGAGGTTTTCTTGGCGAACGCAATCTTCATTGAATTCAATGAAATTCATTGCTTATTGTTCGCTTTGTAGAGATAATACCTGATGCTTTTAATTCTTCCTGTATTTCTCTGCGAGTAGTCATTGGATTTTCTTGAATTTTGAGCTGAATTCTTCTCATTGATTTGGGAGAAATCTTACGTGGTGCACCAGATCTCGATTTATTCTCAACAGTTTTAACTTTTTTTTTACCCAGCAATAACAGAATAGTAGTAAATTGTATATACAGGATATCTGCTATTTTTCTATAGCTTTTGCCTTCCTTCCAATGTTTGATGATCAATTCTTTTTGCTTTTCCCCATAGTGATAATTATTGTGTTTGATTTGTGTGCAGAGATAATCTTATATAAGTAATAAATTGCGGAATGTTCTAGATTGTTCCGGTAATAAGATAATTGAAAGAATCTAGCGAAATCTTACAAATAATTATGTAAATATAGGTAACTTAAGCCTTTTGGCATTAAAGACATTTTGCTCGAATACTTTTTCACCCCGAAATTTTATAAATAAGACAATTTCATTTATAGCAGAATTTTCTAATCGTTTTTTGCATATTGCTACATTATGCAATGGTGTAGAAATATAGTATATTTTTAATAAGTTATAACTATATTCATTGAAAACTTTCATAGTGTACGAATATTTGTTTCATCCCACTGTGTATGTATGTAGGTATGTATGTGTATATATCTGCTCCCGGGAAATCTGGTTGACCTCTCTTGAGAAAAGGGTAATTTTAAGAACAGTGGCAAAAGAATTTAAAAATATAGGTTAGATGTTAGGGGCGGGGGTATTCCTACATGTTTCGGGGAAATATCATATTAAGGTGGTTCTGCTAAAAGGAAAGCAGTCCGGTATCACACTGCACCGACTCGTTTTATTTATAGGACTTTATTTGAAAATAACTGTTAGTTAATTAAACGATGAATTTTAGACAGATTAACCGTTTTTGTGTTATTTCTTGTTAAATCATTTATTGGGGGCGCCAGTGCTTCTGGTTATTACTGATAGACGTTCATATTAAATGAGTTGATGCTACAGTAGCAACTAGAAACTTAGGTGATTAACTGTAGTGGATATACGAAGTAGGCTGAGTAACTGATCTTTAAAACGAAAGATTTTAAAAGATTCTCTTTGCCTTCGTTTTTAGGTAGAGTAACTACGCTAACGGGACACGCTCCTCTCCAATCGGTCAGTAAATATGATTTTTCTTTGTTCAGAAATATAGAAATTTTTAACGACAAACCTACGCTCCCACCACCAGAATTTTTTTTTTTTCATTCTATTTTATTGGATAAATATTTAATAAACATTTCAACCAATCGTGTATTTGTTTTCGTTCTGTATCTTTTGGCTGGGAACATTTTTATGGTATAGATATATTTACTCTGGGTAGACATACACACAGACGTGATTACTGGTGACTCTGTAATAGTGTGTTAAATAAGTGAATGTTCTCTATTCCTCCTCTCTTTAAATAATTTAATATATTAACATAAAAAAAAATTATCATTAATATAATTAACGTAAAAAGCTGAATGCTTTGTCCGTAAATTCTCAAACTCTTCCCTTGACTCATCTAGAATATCACTATCTTCCCACCTAGAACTGAGTTCATGTTGAGTGATATACATAAACCCTTCTATGGTTTCTACTATCAACTCTAAACTGGAACCCCACAAAGCATGTGGACCTTGATGGTATCCCTGTAATAGTCATTAAGAAGTATGCTCTCGAACTGGCCCTTGTTCTCTCTAAATAGCATAATAATTACCTCGCCGCCTCTTGTTTTCCGTCGTGCTGGAAGTCCTCATCTGCTGTTTCAGTTTAAGAAACTCGATTGAACCGTCCGACTATCGACTTATTAGACTTCTCCCTCTTTTGGCGAAATTCTTAGAGGCCCAAATCAATATCTGTCTATATTTCTGAGATGAAAGATTGTGAGATCAATTCCCGGTTAAGGTAGTAGCGAACTTCCAGAAGAGAATTAACAGGAGATAACTGATATCCATTAAACATGGCACGTGGAACTAGAAGAGTCTACCAAAGTGTGCGAAATAAAGGGTACATTTCGACATTACAACCACCTGAAGAAGGCCAGAGCGTACAACGGCCGAAACGTTGAAATAAATATGGCGACAAAGATGAGGACAATAGTCTGAATAATGTAAATAATACCCTAATCAATGTTGAAATGATTAAGCATCTCACGTCGCAGACTTTAGTCATACCTGGTCAACTGCTGATGCAATGACGATAAATACAGAATGAGACTATCAACCTGTAGATAAAACTGATGAAGGCCAGGCTGTATCTTTGAACATCTCGAAAGCTCCCGACAGGTTTTGGCAGGCAGGTCTTCTCCACAAGCTGAAAAGTTACACTGTCTCAGGGCAAATTTTTGAAAGGATCCAATCTTTCCATTCGAATCGTAAAATGAAAATAATCTTCAATGGCTACTTTTCCACTTCGTTTTAATGCCTCCAAAGCCAAACTGATCTTTATAAATCATCTAAGAGGACCCTCCCTGCCTTTCATCAGCAAAGCTAATGCTGACCTATAGGAGAGTGACTCGCGGCACCTCCTCGAGCTTCGTCCTGGGTAAGACGTTAATCTCCATCCGCGTCCAGCAACAAGTCCTCTGATCAGGAGGTTTTGAGGAGCGTGGAACGACCTCTGGTGTTCCCAGGTCCACCCTGACCCGGGGTAGTAGCACCTGTTAGGGTACCAGCTATGGGCAAATAGTTAACTATTACCAGCAATACTTTTTTGAAAAAAATTATTACCAGCAATACAATTTTGAAGGAAATATATTGCCACAAACAGATTTTTGACAAAACAAAATATTACCAGCAATAAAAAATTTTGTCAGCATTAAATAACCCATTGAGATTGATATGTCGTTATACAAAATAAACCAAACCAATCTAAACCAAAGAATACATATTCTATTCATACGAATCTATCCTAAAAATGTCGGCATTAAATAACCCATTGTGGATGATATGCCGTGAAACAAAATAAACCAAACCAATCTAAACCAAAGAATACATATTCTACTTATACGAAACTATCCTAAAAATGTTGTCGGCATTAAATAACCCATTGAGGTGTTGATATGCCGTTAAACAAAATAAACCAAAGCAAACCTTTTCGAGCTAACGTCCCCTCATGACATGAAGTGAAAAGACTACATAGAATCCATCGCTAGGTCATCTACTAAGAAAGTTGTTTCACTGTGTTGGGCTAGATAGATTCTAGAGATAAAACCTATCTTACATATTTAAAAGTCTACCATTTGTCCATGCTTCGAATATGTCTGTCACATATGGACCGGTGCTCCTATTATTTATCTAGAAAAGAAGAATCAGTAATATTATTGGCGCCTCGGCTTCACTCACTTTCCCACCAACGTAATGTTGTCTCCTTGAGCCTTTTCCTTAAGTACTTCCATGTTAATTGTTCAGATGAACTCTTCTCTTCGATACATAAACTTTTTGAAATTAAGCGTAGTACTAGGTAGGCGATGATGTATCACCAATTTACAGTTGGTTTGGCTTGATGTAACCGTAAATTTTAGCTAACAGTTTCTTTTCTCGGACTTCTCGCTTGTGGAACTCCCTTCTGGCTCGAAACTGTCAAGCTAACTTTAACCTTCAAAAATTTAAATACAACGTCAATCGCTATTGTCCTCCTGATTACTCTTTTTTCGCTCGCAGCGTTAGGCAACGTTTTTGTTGCTAACTCAGTAACTCCATGTGTCTTAGTGGCTTTACTGACTTTCATGGGGTGAAATCGATTTAAGAAAAAAATATCTCTTGCCATGCTATGTATTGGGATTTATTTTTTTTTTAGAAGAAATGTATGATTGATATGGGCGTGACCTATTCGCATTCTTGATAGGACGATTTCTTTCTTCCAGAGAAATAAGCGCTATATACATAATAGATAAAATGTGTGATAAAGTGGTTCTTTTTTTTTTGTTTTGTTTTTTACTGCTTTTTTTAGCGGTTAAAATTATGCTTTATAAACAATAAAATATATTTACAAAATAAAATTATGCATACACCGGTACATAGGCTCGTTCCTTCTCAGAAATCTCTAAACTTTAAATGGTGACTTCAGATAAAATTTCTTTGTTGTCTTCAGACGTCTGCATCTTGCCGGAATCGGGTTCAATTATTATCTTATACTGTCCTTTCCAAGAGTTAAACACCCAATCTATGAAGATCCTTTCGCTATGATGTCGCTTGTAAGTACTTCGATTGACGTTTTTATTCTTGCAGGCTTCGATCACTGAAGAAATCGGCTTCGTCGTGCGTACTGGGGTCATTTTTATTTCTCGGTTACTTGGAAAAGGGATTGGGGGTAAATTGCCCTTAGGATAATTATTCAAATCGTAAATCATAACTTGGTAGTCAAGCGGAGTCAGATGTGCAGCCAAGTAGATATGTCCATCAAATACTACCACTTGTTTGCTGCTTGTAAAGGGACACAAAGGCGTGGTTTTCTTGCCAGAGATGGAACTTACGACCGACGAAGTCCACGCGTATCGGAGCGGGAAATGTGACGGCTTGGGGATTGTCAGAGAAAGAGAGTTCAATGACTTTAGAGACGAGTTGCCAACTTGGTAACACAGGTTTACTTGACTAGTAGCATCCTCCTCGGTAAAATTTAACTCTGAAGGTAAATCGCTCAGACCAACTACCGTGTTGAAGCGAGCGACAAAGATCACCTCGGGAAACACTAGAATATCCAAGCACTGATTCCACGTCTTACACGCCGTGAACGAATAGTATTCTTTAACCTGGTGATTATAAAGGAACGTTACAGACACATTACCGGTACTAAAAAACTCTTGAAGAAATATATACACAATAGGTTCGTCTGGAGAATGGCCAGTTGAATCATAGATCGGAGACATCATCACTTCGGATCTTGGCTGTACATTTCTGTTGAAATCACGCGAGAAAATAGTGTCCCCGAGCAGCTGCCATCCAGTACCTTCACTGAGAAAATATCGATAGACACCCCATCCTACGATGTTCTGTTGAGTTGTTATAGGATTGATCCCATAAAGGAAGCCGTGACGACAAAAATAGTGATATGGTTGTGCCGAGCCGACGTCACAATTCCGATAATTACTATGTGGATATGAGCCCGGGATTGAAGTCTGCTTGATGGTGCCACTTGGCAGATGAATGTAAGTAATGACGTTGATTTCAACCTCAAAATAAGCTAGGTATTCGCCGTTTAAAAGGCCCAATAACTCGCCGTCGATTACAGGTAAATTAAGCACGTGCCACTTTCTCATTTCAGGACAGTAGAAACCGGTTTTACCGCAATAGCTTTGCACGACAACCGTCCAGTTGCCAATCAGCGGAAGTTGGTCAGCTGCAGTCTCATTCGTTAGACAGGCTGGAATTTCGTTCGCGATTTTCTGCTCTCTGTGCCACGTGACCAGTTCGTACTTTTTCCTGGATGACAGCGGCAAATGACTTATAACGTCTTCGCTGACAGGATTCTTCTGAAACCAGTTTTCAACGCAGACTTTTCTTTTTCGTACATTAGCTGACAGCCAACAAAGTACAAGACTCGCCCTTACCGATTTCTTGTAGTTGGAAATTACCTCCATGTTTAAGAAAGCCAGGAAGTTCTGCGATTTCATTGAGGCAATCTCTGGACTAAAAACGATCGAGTCTTCAGACCTTTGTAGTAAAGAGTCGCACACTTCTATGAGTTTGATCGCCTCATATCGTTCTGCTAGCCTCATTGTGCTGATCACATTGGCCACGCTGAGTCTGTGTAGGAGAAATTGAAGACAATGGCTCTGGAGATTTACCATAAGCGTCATGTGTGCCGCTTCTAGGATGGTCTCAATATTTTCATCAGACATTAAAACGCGTCCCGTGTATAAATAGTCGATGAATACGTCGGCCATTTTGACATCGCTAAATATATGACTTAAGTCAATTTCGTTCCTTATGTTTTCCAAAAAGCTGGACCGGAACATTCCTTTGAACATTTGACATTCTGCACTCAGAATCGCCCTAGAAGAAATTTAAAGAGGAAAATGGTAAATATTATGTATATAAAAGTCTTACATGATTACTTTGGTAAAATAAATATTTAATAAAAAAAAATTACTTTCCTAAATACTGATAAAAAAATTCTATAATATTTTGAAATATTTATTTTACGACGTAGAATGCAGAAAAGTCCACTCATTTACAAACAGTATGCAGGTCGGTTCTCTTTGATAGAAATCTGTATTCGGCAGAGCATCTTAATTTGGTTTGGTTTATTTTATTTTACGGCATATCAACCTGAATGGGTGATTTAATGGCGACAAGATTTTTATTGCTGGTAATATTTTTTTTCTTAAAAAATTTACTGCTGGTAATAATTTTTTCTTCAAAAATGAATGACTGTAATAAATTTGGCAAAAATGTATTGCAAGTAATAAAACCTATTTTTTACACTTTTATAATGTTTTCCCTTCAGTTTGGGTGGGGTCAACTATTTACCCATTGCTGGGATTCTGACAGATGCTATCACCCTGGGTCATGTTTGACCTGGGAACACCAGCAATTGGTTCCACGCTCCTCAAAACCTCCTGATCAGAGACCATGCTATTGGATGTAGTTTAACTTCTTACCCAGAACGAGCAGGGCATCTTATATCGCTTGTGTACCAAGTGATGATTTACGATCTGAATAATTATCTCAACGGTAATTTGCTCCCAGTCCCTTTTCCAGTAACTGAGAAATGCGAATGCCCCCAAGACATATGACAAGGTTTATTGCTTCATTAATTATAGCCTGAAAGAATGAAAAGTTTTCAGGTGTATATACAGTGTTTGATTATCACTTAAAGTGTGAAATTGACACTATCAAGAGGGGAAAGTCTCAGACCAGTTATACTACTTCGGATTTGAATAACCAGAGCGAGTAAATGGATTTATTTTAATATGGATCAAAGGAACTTATATTAAGTTAAAACTGGAAAAAAATTCTTTTTCAGGACTGGGTAGCACACACATATATATATATATATATATATATATATATATATATATATATATATATATATATAACGCATGGTATGTATTCCAGGGTCGAAATGCCGGTTACTAAACCGACCACCCTTCCTGAAGTTCTTTTGAGTGACGCGGCTCCTTAGCGAGCCAGTAGGACGAAAAATAAGACCTAACATTGTGCGGAAGAACTTTCTCTGAGTCAACGGCCAGCTAACTAGAGGTGGTGTCTCCATAAATCACCGAAGAGAAGGCAACGGGAAACCACTCCACTATCAATCCCAAGTATAGTATGGTCGACAAATCACAAAACCTTTTGAGAGCCACAAAGGATAGGGGGCAATGGAAGGCCATGATGACTACGTTCCGAAAGGACACGGCACATAAAAAGAAAAGAAAAAGAAATGGACCTTAAGCACTTAAAGGATTTGGGTGCCCTCATACATCTGCGAGTTAAGTATCTTAGCATGGAGACATAAGCTGAGTAAGTAGATCATGGCAATGCCAGCTGGAAATCAATAAAGATGGAACCAAAGGCACATACGATCATCAAGAGAGGCTAATCATCGGTTCTATCACAGAACAATGCCAATGCCTTGGGAATCTAAACCAGAAAGAACCAATCGAAACCATTTCAAATTAATTCTAACCAGAATGTAACAGAACTGTGACCGGAAGTGACTGTAATCAACAAACCAGAACGTTATATAATCACAGTTATAAAGTCAGAATAATGCGAAACAAAAATTAGAATAATCTACTCCTGTGATTGTTCACAAAAGTTAAATCCCATGAAGTTTTTTTTTTTTTTTTTTCGTTTTTTTTTAATCGATTCACACCAAGCAAGGCGGGAAGCCATTAGCACGCAAGGGGGTTACAGAGATTTGAAGCGAGAGCAGATAGGAGTGATAGAGGAAAGGATGGGAAGAAGGATACTGGATAGATCAAGGCAACTGGAGACTTGAATAGTTGGAGATTATAGCTATCAGGAGGATCAAGGCAACTGGAGACTTGAATAGTTGGAGATTATAGCTATCAGGGAAACAGGAAAAGGGAAGGGAGTTCCACAGGCGAGAGGTGCGAGATATGAAGCTATTGGAGTAAAAGAGACGGCTACATTTAACAGTTTCAACAGTGAAAGGGTGAGAGCGGGATGCCAGCCTCGTAGGACGCTTGAATCCATGGAGTCTGGTAGCCAGAGAAAACAGCTCCTCGGAGCAATTGCCATGAAAGTATTTGTAAAAGACAGAGAGGCGACGGCACGTCTGTGAGAGAGCGACTGCAGACGAGATGCCAGATCAGCACCAATTACATTGCATATCCGTTTCTGGATCTTATCAAGAACCCTGAGGCAAACAGAAGGGGCTCCAGACCATATATGGCAGCAATACTCCATGCAAGGCCGAATGTTTGATTTGTAGATTTAAAGCGGTACAAGGAGCCAACTTTCCTTGCGGTGGACGAAACAATTGACTCAATGTATTTGTTCCATCTCAAGTCAGTAGACAACGTGAGTCCGAGCAGCCGCAGAGAGGCGCTCTCGAGAAGCTGAGCGTCAGACATTCTAAGGGGAGGGGGCAGGGAAGGATCTCTGTGGTGATTAATAGAGAGCAGTTTTACTAAGACTAACTTATTCAAGAAGTGGGGATGTGATGTATTTATAAATACACGCCTCATTACCTCCCTTATCCCATTCTTTAATCAACAAATCGCAGTAAAGATTCGTAATGGCGCCCGGCAGATTAAAATGTTAATCGTATTCGACGTATTTATTTATATGTGTACAACAACGTCATAATTTCTATGCTTCCCACTTACCTTGATACCCAGAGAACGTGTGCTTATTTTGCTTAATGTTTAATCCAGCCCGGTTCATTATGTACCGTTGATTTCTGTGTTCACATACAAAGGCTTTTTCCCCATAAACGCAATATTATTTTACTAAATTCAAATGATAATGTCTGCCTTTAATTTTTATTCTATTTTCGAGTTGCGCATCAAAATAAAAATGGTGTCAGTATCGTAGACAAAACATGTCTAAAACAACATTTAATCCTTGATAACGATATCTTGAGGCAATGAAATAAGAGAAGCAAGAACTTCTCAGTTTAATCATAATTTTGATTTGAATATGCAACAGCTTATTCGAAAATTGTAAAAGAGAAATAAAACTTAAACTTACCATCTCAACTGAATTTTATAAAACTTATTTAAAGAAAATCTGTGTATGTATATGTACGTACATGTGTATGTGCGTGTGATTAAAAATGACAAATGTCTTTAGTTTCATTTTGTGTTTTCGAGTTGGAATAATGGATATCATCTCGAATTGAGGAATCGTAGAACCGAGTTCAAATTCCAGTCGAGTCCATTACATTTACTTACGTGCTATTATCCTTGCGAAATGTATCAATACATCGCTCCTATGGGTAAATAGCAGGACAGATTGGCTTCTATAGCCATTGGGAGGCAACTGGTCAAAAAGAAGAAAAGACTTAATTCTAAACCGACAACTAGGCTCTGTAGCTATGGCTGGCAACCAGACTAGGAGAAGAAATCTGAATTCAAATCCGGAACTGGTGATTCTAAGACATTCCAATGTCAGATTTGGTTCTAGCAACGGCGCCAAGCTGTATTGTTTTTTGCCTTTGCCAACGTAGATGGCATGATGAGAGCACACATACTGTCGATCTGTCATTAAGAAAAAATTCCTGCTCAGGCTGCGTTCTTCGGGCAAAGATCAAAACTAACGGATGCCAATTGTGTTTTATTGTGTGCAAAGAAGAATTTTTTACATTCCATGAGTATCGAAATTGTCCAAATGCTTGTTCGTTCTAAGGGCTTCCGGTTAATCGATAAGCCATTTTCAAGGTGAGGTGGATATATTCTTAATTCCTGAATACGGACAGTACATTATGGCTGTCTTCATAATCAATGTTGTTTAGAGTTGATGTTTTGTTTCTTATTCCATTATGAAGACTTTCATTATATTTAAAAGTAGGCGTGAATTAAATTTGTTTTTCGACGATTATATTGGATGTAGAAATTGATAAATATTCATAAAAAAATATGTCTAACTCTGAGCAAATTACATACCCTTGCAATAGGCTTCTGATCGGGAGATTGGGGATTTTAAGTATCGCCGAACCACCTAATAATTGCTGTTGTTCCCAAGTTCACCCTGACCCGGTGTGGTAGCGCCTGTTAGGGTTCTAACTATGGGTAAATAGTGCCCCCACAAAAACTGTGGTCATAACACAATGAAAGTATAACAATACATTTTTATAATAAAAAATTCGGCAATATATTTTAATAATAAAAACATTACCAAAGCTCAAAAAATAAAAAAGACAAAACAAAAAAAAAACTTCGGTATTAAATGACCCATAAGGAATTGATATGCCATTAAATAAACAAAACCACATTAACCAAGATGAGAAGAATTGTTCAAAATAATACAAGAATATTTTGAAATGACTTTCAATCATTTTTGTGAAACATGTAATTTTTTTTTTTAAAGGATTTCACCCCAAGCAAGTCAGGTGTACCACTATCACGCAAGGAGTTATAGAGACTGACAGCTAGAGTAAAGAGGGTTGTTTGAGGAAAAGATATAGAGAAGGACGGGGATCAGGATCAAGGCATCGGGGCACATGACATCTTTGAGAAAGTGACTGCAGACGAAATGCCAGATCAGAAACTATCTTATTGTATATCCGTCTGGATTGTGTGGAGGACATTGAGATGAACAGTGGGGGTGGGGGGCACCAGACCATATGTGGGAACAGTATTCAAATGCAAGTATATATATAGAGAGAGCGGCGTCTGCGCAAATACGCACCCACGTTCACAAAATACAT